CGGCCCCAACGCCCGTGTGTGCACACGCCCCAGACTCCCTGCCAAGGCTGAGCCCCCCGCCCCCCCGTGTCCCCCCTGCAGTGGAGCAGCTTGGTTTGGCTTTTTCCATCGCTCACCACATTTTCCTTATTTTAGAGCTTTCTGTTGACTCGGAGGTTGCAAAATGGAAAATGTAAAAAGAAAAAAACAAGGAAAGGAAAGGAAAGGAGGGAGTGCAGGCAGGTAGAGGCAGCAGGGGGCTCAGCCTTGGCAGTGATTCTGGGGCAAAATCCTGGGGATTTGGCTCTTGCGGGGAGCGCTGCGTTCCTCCTGCAGCGAAGGGAGGTGTTAGAAAGGAAAAGTAAGGGGAAAAAAAATGGGAAAATGACAACAATAATAATAATAAAAGAATAATAATAAAATAATAAAAAAATAGAAAACAATAACCCTTACATTTGGGTGTATTGGGTGTAGTCCTGCCTGCCGGTCCCCATTCACCCCCACCCTTCCCCCCCAGCCCTGTTTGAACACAGGAAGCACCCGAGGCACAAACACACGGGGAGGAACCCCGGGGACGCTCGAGCACAGAGCGGATTTCCTCCCCGAAACGCAGCACCGAACAGCAACGTCTCTTAATTTGGTTCCCTCCTCGCCCTCCCTTCCCCCCCAGCCACAATGGATCTCGGGGCCAACAGGTGTCCTATAGCGACTTGCAAATGGGAGGAAAAAAAATAATCAAATGGCTTCATCTGCATCAGCGCACGCAGCGACACGGGCAGATGGTGGGGATTCAAATGTTAGGAGGGTTTGGACGAGCGCTGCTTGTAGGCTCTGGTTTCCAAGAGGCACGGAGCTCTGCGTTTTGCTATGAAGATGGGCTGCAGGGATGTCCCCGGGGATGCACGGTGCAAAGGGCGCACTGCAGCAGGTGGGGCTGAGCAGATGAGCCAACGGAATTTAAAAGGAATAAAACAGAACGCCGTAAATTAGGTGAGAAAAAAGCTTCTGTACGAAGACGGCAAGCGCCCAAACCTCAGCAACGGGAGCTCCCCACGACCCCCGGCTACACACAGAGCGTGGATTCACTCGATATTTAAACAGCTTATTATATATATAAAAAAAAGCAAAACTCAGCAACCAAACCCACGCAGAGCTCGGCTCCCAGCGCCGGGCCGAACCCCCAGCAGCAGCAGCAGCCCCGAGCCCCCCCTGCACCGCACACACCCACGCCGGCGGCCGCTCGCGTCATGGAAACACTGCGCGACCGCAGCCCGCTTTGCTGCCTTTGGCTCCGGCTGAGCAGCGCTCCCAGCTCCTCCCGTCGCTGCTACCTGTTGTAAAGCGCGATAGCAGCGGCCAGCGCTGGGCTCCAGCAGCGGGTCGTTGCGTTTCTCAATTATTGCCTTTTTGTTGTTGTTCTATGTTGCCTCTTCCAACGCTACGGCCGGGAGGTGTTTATTAAGAAATATAACTTGGAGTCACAAAGCACCAGAACATCACACGCACAGCAGTAACTGCAGGTGGGATGGGGTCTGCCCTTCTGAGCCGCGGGCAGCACCAAACCCAACCCATCCCATTGCTGTGCCAGCAGCAGCCTGCTTTTACCCAAGATGAAAAAGAAGATGAAAGAGGCGTTTGCAGCCTCGATATCCCATGCACAATGTGTGCTTTATCCCATTGCTTACACCTTCAGAACCATAGAATTGTTAAGGTTGGGGGAGACCACTAAGGTCATCCAGTCCAACCATCAACTCATTAGTGATGTTCTGTGCAGCCTCCATGGGGATGGGGTGCTGTAGAGAGCTCACTGTGCCCCAAATCCCCATGTGGGGCTCCTTGTGGGGGTGTCCCCTCCAGACCCTACCTGGATAATGGCACAGTGTGCCCACACACTGAATAACCCTTAAAAAAGGCTCCATTTTGGAGTGTCACCATCCCACCCCAACGCGCCAACACTGAATATAAGGGAAAAAAAAAAAATCAAAGCTGGCTCATCCAGCTGTCTGCACATATGAAAAACAAGGGGAAAAAAGCATCATAAGAGCTCACCCAAAAAGCATCACCTCATCTCAGTTTTTAGCAGCAGGCAGATGGAGGAGGTGCGGGACAGAACAACACCTGGATCGGGGGGTGCACCGTGTGCACGCTGCCCCACATCTGTGACCCAGTGCTCACTGTTTGGGATTTACCCCAAGAGAGATGACCATGGAAACACAACAGAATGGCTCAGAGTTGGGTCTGGGGTTGGGAAAAGACTGAAAGGTGCAGAGAGCAACAGTTGTTGGAAAAAGATGATGAGAGCGCACTGGGCTCGTTAAGGTATTTTGGGGGATTCGAAGGGTGCTTTGTGGGAGCAGCACTCCCTGAGCATCAGCCATGCAAGCAACACCTCAACCGTGCTCTGCACACACAGCACAGAAATGGAACTGTGAGCAATATCACACGTGTGTACACAGAGCGTGAGGGGAAGCCCAAGGGCAAACCCCAGGGAAAGGCAGCACCCGTGGGTGCAGCTGCATTGCATCCCTCCCGAACAGCAGAATGAGGAGACGAGGGGGTTTCTGTACATGCAAGGTTGGGCAGCCTGAGAGGAAGGTGTGGGATCCAAAGCTGGGTTCCCTACAGCACACCGATGGGAGCTGTGCAGTCGTGCTGTTGGAATGCCTGAGCATCACAGCCCTAAGGGAAGCGATTTGGAGGAAAAGGGAAAAGAAAAAAGAAAAAAAAAAAAAACAAAAACACAAAAAGAAGACGTAGCATGTTTGTGAATCAGCCTGCTGAGCGTGTGTTTCGGGGGTGGAAAAGGTGGGCGATGTGCAGAGGAACAGAGCAGAGAGAGATGAGTCACAAAACGCCGCTTTCCCTCGCCGGCAGCACAACCATTGCAGCGTGAAATGGGAAATTTCATCTTTCCATGGTTTTGTTTTTTATGGTTGGGAATGGGTTGGAGCCATCAGCTCTGTGCTGAGCTGGAAGGGAGGGAGGGGGACAGGGAGGGAAACATCCCTGTGCTGCGAGCAGCCGGCTCTGCTGCCATGCAGTCAGGTTACTGATGGGGCAAAGAAAGTTGTGTGTATGCATAACATCAGCAACATGGAGAGGCTGAGCTCTCAGAGCATGAAAATGCCTGCCCAGAGCCCTGCACAGCCTGCAGCGGCTGTCTGCCCACTAATTGGAGATATTAAATATCTGCTTCCTCCTGCAGTGTGGGCAGTGGGGCTGCAAACAGCATTCTGGGCTCCAAAGAACGCAATACCCCAAAACAATACATATATACACACACACACATTTCTATATAAAGATCCACGGTCATTGCTTCTCACCTGATGTCAGAGCTCTGCAGCTCTTTCTTTGAAATGCATCAGCTCCAGAAATAAAAACAGTCAGAGGGGGATTTAAGCAGCTCCCCAGCATATGTCAAAAGATGGTTCTTAAGGGGGGGGATGGTGCGTCTCAGGTTGTGATTCACGGCACCTCTGGCAGTTTGATTCAGGTTCAGGAGGAAATGAATGAATGAAAATGGAAGCACTGGAGCCACAGGTCTGCCCTGAGCTGTGAGATTGGGGTTTTCTTCCCCCTTCTGAACTCTTTGCACAGGCGAGACACACAACTGCCTCGTGCTTCCGCTGATGAAATTTAATTTAAATTCAAATTAAAACATCATCTAACATGAGCCATCTTCACAGACACTGTGCTGTCCCACACCACAACCCCAGTGGGCTCCCCCAAACCAGGCACGCAAGTGCAGGCTCCTGCAACCTCAGCACAACCTGTGAGCTCCCACCACGTTGGAAAAAAAGCTATTGGCCCACGAGTGAGGTTTTAAAGCAAAAATCAGTAAGCCACAAAGGGTTCCAGAGAGGTGGAGGTCCCTGCAGACCCCCAGGGTCAGGCTGGAGGGCTGTGACCACTGATGGAGCTGTGGATGCCCTTGTGCAACGCAGGCAGTGCAACCAGATGGCCTCTGGAGGCCCCTTCCAACTTGAATGATTCTCTGGTTTTGCAAAACATTAATGATAACTGCACGATATCTAAGTTGCAGCCATGGGATGTCCCCAAGGCAGCTGCCTTCGTGCACCAGCACTCTGCAAGAAACCCAGGGCGTGAAGCAAAGGCTGCACCACAGACAGAGGTGAGCATGCAGCCATTGCTTGGAGGTATGTGTGTGTGTGTGCAGAGTGGGGGAATAGAAAAAACAACAAATTGTCACCACTAGCCCTTTGCTTTGCACCTACGTCAGGCGGTGCTGGGCCTGACTCAGCAGGGATGATTCACCTGGGCAAACAGGGGAGAAGCCACCGCGCTGCTGCTGCTGCGTGTCCCCACTGCGGGGCACCGCATGCACACCGACCCAGCGGGGACTCTGGGGAAGGGTCCCTTTGTGGCACCCGTCTGGGAGCGATCCTCGGCCTCAAAGCAAGGGAATCCCAAAGCCGAGGGCTCCCAGCTCACGGAGCGGGGCTGCGGCTGCCCGCTGCTAACGCGGCCGGGGCGGGGAGCAGGTGGGATGCGCGCTGCTCGGGGCTGCCGCAGGGACGCGGTGTCAGCGCTGGGAGCACCTCACTGCTGCACGGGAGGAAGCACAGCCCCGATCCCATCTGACAAACGGAGCTTTTCCCTACCCTCAGCCACGAGGACCAAACAGAAAGGAGACCCAACAACTCGCTCCGACCCGGGACGGAGCACAACCCGGGCCTCCGAAGCCCCGCACAGCCCCCACCGAGCGCTCCCGATCCCGATTTTCTCACCGGCGCTCCTCCCGAAGCCGCACACATCCCCGCTCCGTCCCCTCCGGCAACGAAGAACTTCACCCACCCCGCACAGCGAACAGCCCAATTAACCCCATCCCGCTAATTACCCTTCACTAACCCCTCCCTACCCAACAGGTGCCCCCATTCCCACTCACTCACCATTGGGGCCGTACTTCTCCCGGTTGCGGCGGACCTGCTCGGGGCTGAGCCCGCAGCTCTCAGTCACGTCGAAGCGGCTCAGCACGTCCCGCACCGGCACGCTGTGCGCTGCCTCCATGCCCCGCCGGCGCCGCCCGGAGCAAACCCGGGGCCGGCGGGGAACGGGGGGGACGGGGACGCGCAGAGAGCGCACTCGGATACCGTCGCTCCCTCGGTACCTCCGGGGAAGGGGAGCCCCGCTCCGGTCCGCCTCCCGCTCCGCCCCGTTGCCGTTTCCCCCGCCTCCCCCGGAGCCGCCCCGCGGTCCGCCGCTTCCGTGGGTTTCATCGCAAAGTTTTAGGAAACAGCTGTGGTGAAGCTCTCTGAGCAGCCGCCCGCTTCCTCACCGTTCAGTCTGATGCCGGAAGACATAGGAAGGCTTTATCGGCACCGAAGCGCTGCGTGGGACCCCCCTATTGCCCACCCAACGCTGCTGCTTGTGACCCCCAGCAGCCGTGCCCTGAGATGGGGACATGCCGGTGACAAAGGGAACCCCACAGCACATGGAATGCCACCGCTGCACCCATTGCTGTGATGTATCCGGAGAGATACACAGCACAGAATGTCACTGCTGGGCAGGAGGCAGGAAATGTCCTGTGCACGTGGCACAGCATCTCTGTCACCACACGGCCAGGTCACCGCATGTCAGGGCTCTCAGGGCTGCATGATTCTCCTCTGCCCATAGCACAGCACCTCCGTGGGAGCCCACACGATGAGCAGTGGTTCTGTCCCAGTGTTGGTCCCTGTTGGTGCCCAATGGAAGAGGCTCCCCATTGCACAACGTGCAGCCTTTGTGTTGCTGTGCTGCAGTTCAAATGGTGGCTCCTTGCAGCAAGAGCTCTGCACACAGCAGCACCGTCCTGAGTTCATAGAATCATAGAATTGTTGAGTTGGAAGGGACCCCCAAAGGCCATCTGGTTCCACTCCCTCCAGTACACAGAGGTGCCCACAGCTCCATCAGTGCTCAGAGCCCCTCCAGCCTGACCCTGGGGCTCTGCAGGGACAGGGCATCCATACTCATCTACCAAAGCAGGGCTACCCAAAGCCCATTGGTACCACCCAACAGCCACCCCACACCTATGGGATGTTCTATGCAGTGCCTCAAGCTCCCCATGCTGGGAGTGTTGCCGGGTCTCCGGGCAGGAGGAAGCAGCTCCGTGGGGAGGAGCTCAGCCTCATTTATTTATCCAAGCAATTATTTATAGAATGCCTTTCTCACATCCCACCGGAGCAGAGGGCCTGGAGGAAGTGCAGCTTTGTGCTCTCCAATGCTCTAAATTCGGTTTTCCTGCTGTGAGATACCCCCCCCCCCCCCCCCCAGCCCTCCTGCAGGAAGCAGCTCCACACCCTGTGGCTTCCAGTTGCTGTCTGCCTCACAAGAGCTTTTGGGGGAGAAAGCTGTATTTCTTTTATGTGCAGCTTGTAGCAGCCTGAGAGAGAATAAATTCCACCTGTTGTTATGCAACTGTTGCATGGCATAGCACTGGGTATCATTGGAAATGGTTGGGATGAAAAGGACCTTACAGCCCATCCCGTTCCAACCCATGGGCTGGTTGTCCCCAACCAAACCAGGCTGCCCAAAGCCCCATCCAACTTTCCCTGGGGCACCTGCAGGGATGGGGCGATCTCATTTCTTTGGGTAACTTCTGAGAACCTCAATTCCAAGCCCTCATCCTGCAGGTTGGCACTGGAAGGGAGCACGAAGATGATGCACGGGCTCAGAAAGTTAAAGATTGACAAAGTTGGGAGCAATTAAATAGTTCTGCGGGAACCAGCTGTCAGCAAAGGTAGCACCAGCAGCCCTGCCTGTAATTAAGCAGTTCATGGCAACTATTAGCAGTCAATTAGCCCAGTACTGAACAGTGATGGCAAATGGTCTGCAGAGAACAGCCCCAAAATGGCCAAGGAGGGGCCATGGGTCAGTAAGGCCCTAAGGCCCCACAGTGGGGGTTCACTGCTGCAACAGCATCAGCCCCAGAAGAAAACAAAAGGCAAATCTCCTTATTTCTTTGCTTTCCCCAATGGTTTGAGGGGCTGCAGCATGGGACTGGCATGAACCTGAGCCCTGCGCTGCTCCTAAGCCCACCCTCACTGGGGAAGATTTGCTTTTATCTCTATTCTGCTCCCAGAAAATGGGAAAAGAAGGAGCTTTGCTGGCTCCCATCTGCAAGCTGAGCCAGGAGCGGCTTTTTATTCTGCGGCAGCTTTGATATTTGCTTTTCCTATGGATTAAAAAAAAAAAAAGAAAAAAATACAAACCACCTCGAAATAACACTTTGAGGCTCTTCTAAATGCTATGCGCCAGCCGACCTTTTGGAGCCGTGCTCCAGGTGTTATTTTTAATCCCAAAGCCAAGACTGCAGGCAGGCACAGGGAGGGCTCTGCTCCCACAGGGAGCTCCAAAAAACACCAAAATGCCCTCAAAAGAGGTGCCAACTTTCACTTCATGGCTGTGGTTGTCATGTTTCCATCTCTGCTGGAATCACACCCTCAGGACCACCGCGATGTGTGGTTTGGGTGCTGGTATCATTGGGATTTGTCTTCTTGGAGTTCAGCTGGCTGTGCTGGAGGAGGGTTGGGTATCACTGGGATTTGTGCTCTTAGAGCTCAGTTGGGTGTGTTGGAGGAGGGTTGGCTGCCATTGGGATTTGTCTTCTTGGTGCTCAGTTGGATTACCCTCACCAAGGCCCATGAACCACAGCTGCTGCCAGATGTGTGCACATCTGGAAGATGAATACAGATGCTCCTTGCAGAGCGTGTTTCCCCTCTGCGTTCCCCACTGTGCTCTGGGCTTTCCAGCCCTCCAGGAGCAGGATTCCCCCCCTGTAGGACAGACGCTTTGCTTGGAATGATGCTGATATTTTTGTCTAAGTCTGCTGCCCTGAGCATTTAGGGGCAGCCCAAACCCATTTCCCAGTGGGAGTGCTGAGGGCTGCCCTGAGCCTCGCTGCTGAATTTCCTGGCATTTGCCCCGACCGCTTCACTCGTGGTGTCTGTCTGTGGTTCCAGACCTGTGTTGGGCAATCCTCATTTATTTATGTGCTGTGTCCTGACCTCTTTCAAAGGGAGGAAAACCCATTAATATCCACTGAGGGGGAACACCGTGACACTCACTCTGACGCTCCGATGGCTCTTCTCCCTGATGTCAAATACCCCCTGGAAAAAAAAAAAAAAAACAAAGCCTTTGTGGTGTGTGATTCCTGGCGTGTAGGAAACAGCAAAAGCAAAGAGGAGAGGAGGCTGCAGGGCAGAGCAAGGAGGGCACTGGGCCCCCGCAGGCCTGGTTGGGAGGGCTGCATGCAGCCCTGGTGGGGTACAGCTGTGGGCCGGTGGAGGAAACTCATATTGGGCACAGAGAGGTGGGGGATGGAGCTCACATTGGGCCAAGTGATGGCGGCTTCCTTCCTCTTTCTGTTTTGTGTTCGCAGAGTAAAGGAGAGGAACCTCTGTGAAGCTGCAGAGAGAGGGAGGGGAGGTTGTAGGAAATAAAAGGGGGGGAAGGTAAAAAGGAGAAGTGGGAAAGAAAAAAATGGGGGGAAGGTGGGAAGAAAGGGGAGAAAGGGGAGAGGGAAAAAAGGGCCAGAAAAAGGGCAGAAAGAGGGCAAAAAGAGACACAGAGCAGAAAAATGAAAAAGAAAAGAAAAAAAAAGGCCCCAAAGGGGAAAGGAAAAATAGGCCAAAAAAGGGGTACAAAAAAGTGAAAAAGTGGGGAAAAAATGGCCATGAAAGAGCCAATTAAAAAGGACAAAATGGGCCAAAAAAAGGAGGGGAAAGAAGTGAAAAAAAGATGCAAAAAAGGGGCAAAAAGGGGCAGAAAAAGAAAGGAAAAAAAAGAAGGGGAGAAAAGGAGAAAAATAAAAGGAAGGAAAAGGAAACTAAGAGGAAGAGAAAGCAAACAGGGCCATTGAGGCGGAGCACAGTTGGTGCTGTGTGGGTCAGTGGGGCAGGGGCAGCACTGCAGGACAGCCATAAAGCAGCAGCTGTGTGCTTCCTTCAGCCCCAGGAGCTCATTCTGACCCTTCCAAGACCGCCCAGCTCAGTGATCCCAAAAAGCCGTCGAGGATTTACTGTGGCTCGCTGCGTAACAATATCCGTGTTTATGGCGGCGGTGGGGTCTGTGTTCTGCAGGCAGACTGCAAAAATGTGGAAACGTGGGGTGAAATACAGCTGTTTGTGCACATATAGAGCTCTAGATGGAAGGGACCTCCCAGGTCATCCAGCTCCAACCCACGGGCTGAGTGCCCCCACCAGCTCACGCTGCCTTAGGGCCCCATTTGTGGCCTTGGGCACCTCCGAGGATGGGGCACCCGCACTTCTCTTGCTTGGGGTTTGGTTGCATGGCAGTGAGTGGGAGGCACTGCAGATGGCAGCAGGAGAGGAGCCGCCAGCTCCATGTGTCATCACTGCCTCTCAGCCCCGAGCCTGGCAAATATAGCCAACAATGTCATTGTTGCTAGGATTTTTGGGCTCCGGGCAGTGATGCCCAGGGAAGGCTGGCCACGAGGAACGGTATTGTCTGCATGGAAAGGAAGGAAAGCGCGTGGGGCTGTGGGCAGTGCCTGGAGCTCAGCCCTGGAGTTGTGCTGCTCAGCCCCAGCCCTGAGATCCGAACCCATAGAACTGCCATAGAACTGCATCAGAGAGCAGTGTCCAGAACCCAGAACATGTTGCACACTGGAGATCCCCTATTCAACCCAAACTCACCCCCAGCGCCAAACCGACCACAGTGTGGTGCTGGAAGGAGCCCTATTAACACCCACACCTCTCACCAATGTTCTGCCCCACATAGCCGCCATCTGCTCCCATATAACCCAAACTCAGCACACAGACCTGGTGGGGGCACTGGTTTTTGGCAGCTGCAAGCAGGCGCTGCTGCAGCAGCACACATCAGTCATTCCCATCCCCCCCTGCAAAAAGGGGGCTTCAAAGAGGTGATGTCCCCTATCCACACAGGGATGAGGAGGCAATTAGTCCCCATCTCATTAAGGGCTGACGCCTAGGGCAGCAGCAGGGCAGGCCTGGAGCCCATCCATCAGACATCCACCCCATCCCCACTGCTTTGCGTTCTTGTAAGCACACAGCCCTGACCTATTT